AATCGGACAAGTGAAAATAAGTAAGCTAAGGTTTCTTTAGCTTGGCATAGCCATTATATAAGTGGTGTTCTCTTAAAATATCATATGAAGGGATACATAGGTGTTTCGATAGAAATCAAACCATGGTTTCAAAAATATTTTTACAGTTGACGAAGTAAATATATGGAGAAATTTGTTTCATTTTGCGAAAAAATATTTCTTAGAAGCACTTTTCAGGGTTGCCAAACACCTGATAAATAGCTTCTAAATGATGAATAACAAGTACTTCTTCTTGCCCTCTTCATAAGACCTTACCCATAACACCTGATATATTTATAGGGCACTGAGAGAAATTTTTGCATGGATGTGTAATTTTATCCCTCATTTATTATTGTGTTGACTTTATTTACATGGGGTATAATGTATATCAAATAGGGATAAAGTTAGAAAGTTACTAAATTTTAAATGAGAGTTAATGAAGTTTAAGATTTTTCTTGGTATATGTGAAACATACTGGAGTATCTTATAAATAGGACCAGAAGAGTATATATGAAAAGAGAGAGAAAAAGAACAAGCAGGTGAAGAAAATACTCTCCAGATTTGTTTAAGAAGAAGAAAAGAGTTCTCCATTTTGCGCAAGTCTTAGTCTGTGTCCACTTTTGATCTGCAAATTAAATAGATTCTGCTAGATGCAGAAATATGCATCTTTTGCTTGCCATTATTGAATCTCGAGAAGTTGGCATTTAGTTAACCTATCTTGTCTGTAATATATCTATCGATTTTGATGAAGGAAAAAGGGAAAAAGACAGAAAAATGCACTCTTAATTTCAGAAGTCCAAAAAGGTCCGCTGAATTCAACAAATCCCAGTTTGGTACCATGAGACCAAATTGGGATTATTATGTGAAAGGAAAAGACCAAATTGCCCTTCATTTTAAATATTACTTTTAAAATATCACAGCCCCTACTGGCCGGCCGGCCACCGGACCTCCGGCGACGGCGGTCACCGGAGCTCCGGCGACCAGCCGACAATTGGTCACCGGAGCTCCGTCAGTCGGAATTTTTTTTTTTGAAATTTTCACAACTTCAATATAACGGTTAACAACTTTTGTAATGCGATTAACAACTTCAATATAGCAATTAACAACAGCTTTTCTGGAAAATTCAACAAAGTCCGGCGACCGGAAACAATTTTTTTGAAAATTTTTACAACTTCAATATAACCGTTAACAACTTTTGTAACGCCATTAACAACTTCAATATAGCAATTAACAACAGGTTTTCTGAGAAATTCAATAAACTCCGGCGACCGGAAACAATTTTTTTGAAATTTTTTACAACTTCAATATAACGGTTAACAACTTTTATAATGCTATTAACAACTTTAATATAGCAATTAACAACAGCTTTTCTGGAAAATTCAACAAACTCCGGCGACCGGAAACAATTTTTTTGAAAATTTTTACAACTTCAATATAACGGTTAACAACTTTTGTAACCCTATTAACAACTTCAGTATAGCAGTTAACAACAGGTTTTTGAGTTATATAATTTTTCAAAAAAAAATTGTTGTTAACTGCTATACTGAAGTTGTTAATAGGGTTACAAAGTTGTTAACCGCTATATTGAAGTTGTAAAAATTTTCAAAAAAATTATTTCCGGTCGCCGGAGTTTGTTGAATTTCCCAGAAAACTTGTTGTTAATTACTATATTGAAGTTGTTAATAGCATTATAAAAGTTGTTAACCGTTATATTGGAGTTGTAAAAATTTTCAACTTTAGTATAACGTTAACAGTTACGTTTTTTTGAAAATTTGTACAACTCCAATATAACGGTTAATAACTTTGATATAGCAGTTAACAACAAGTTTTTAAATTCAAAAAGTGGCATTTTTATAATTTCAGTAATGTCTTTAACAAACTCAAAAACCTGTTGTTAACCGCTATACTGAAGTTGTTAACCGCTATATTGAAGTTGTAAAAATTTTCAAAAAAATTATTTCCGGTCGTCGGAGTTTGTTGAATTTCCCAGAAAACTTGTTGTTAATTGCTATATTGAAGTTGTTAATAGCATTATAAAAGTTGTTAACCGTTATATTGAAGTTGTAAAAATTTTTAACTTCAGTATAATGTTAACAATTACGTTTTTTTGAAAATTTTTACAACTCCAATATAACGATTAACAACTTTGATATAGCAGTTAACAACAAGTTTTTAAATTCAAAAATTGGCATTTTTATAACTTCAGTAATGTCTTTAACAAACTCAAAAACCTGTTGTTAACCGCTATACTGAAGTTGTTAATAGGGTTACAGAAGTTGTTAACCGCTATATTGAAGTTGTAAAAATTTTCAAAAACATTATTTCCGGTCACCGGAGTTTGTTGAATTTTCCAGAAAAGCTGTTGTTAATTGCTATATTGAAGTTGTTAATAGCATTATAAAAGTTGTTAACCGTTATATTGAAGTTGTAAAAATTTTCAAAAAAATTGTTTCCGGTCGCCGGAGTTTATTGAATTTCTCAAAAAACCTGTTGTTAATTGCTATATTGAAGTTGTTAATGGCGTTACAAAAGTTGTTAACGATTATATTAAAGTTGTAAAAATTTTCAAAAAAATTGTTTCCGGTCGCCGGACTTTGTTGAATTTTCCAGAAAAGCTGTTGTTAATTGATATATTGAAGTTGTTAATCGCATTACAAAAGTTGTTAACCGTTATATTGAAGTTGTGAAAATTTCAAAAAAAAAAAATTCCGACCAACGGAGCTCCGGTGACCAATTGTCGGCTGGTCGCCGGAGCTCCGGTGACCGCCGTCGCCGGAGGTCCGGTGGCCGGCCGGCCAGTAGGGGCTGTGATATTTTAAAAGTAATATTTAAAATGAAGGGCAATTTGGTCTTTTCCTTTCAAATAATAATCCCAATTTGGTCTCATGGTACCAAACTGGGATTTGTTGAATTCAGCGGACCTTTTTGGGCTTCTGAAATTAAGAGTGTATTTTTCTGTCTTTTTCCCAAGGAAAAATAACATATGCAAGACGAGGAGAGAACATATATAATTGATTTTAGCCATTTCTACAGTTTACTATCAAATTTCTCCAGCATACCGCTGCAAATAAGCTTTTACCCTTCCAATGTCAATCCTGGTAATCAAGCATAGAAGAAATTTACAATTGAGAAATAATTGAAGTCATTCTCTCTAAGATTAGGAGTCAAATTTTTTAAAAAATTTACAATTTATCATATATGTGTGTGTTTTCGCCCTCAAATTCTTAAGATAATTTATTAGTAATGATTCTATTTCAAGAGGTCTATCAATAATTAGTTTCCTTGCATGTGAATAATTCACTATAATATTCCCAAAAATTATGGACACGCGCCAGCAAGCACACCAATAATATGCACGATAACAGAAAGCATGATCTGCTTTGAGAGGCTGGGAAAATATTCAAGGATAGGACAAAAAGGTTATCATAAGAACAGGGAGGCATTACGATGCATGGCACTTTGTTGAAATTTAGTGAGAGAAGGCAAACCACAAAAGTGACGAAAAATAAAGTAGAAAATCCAAAAGCGACCAACAAATTGAAGATAAACCAAGGGTGATGAAAGTATCTCCAAGGTATTATAAAATGTTCTAACAAAAGGGACCACCTAAGAAAGTACAAATGGATAGAGAGGCATGGAGAAGACCATTAAACAATTTAAAGATGAAGAGCATGGTTGTATCAAAAAAACAAAAGATGAAGAGTATGTGTTAAAAGGGGTCCCAGAAATAAAAAGAGTGAAGTGAAGAGCAGAACCAAATGATCTTTTGAATTGGCCAAACTTTTGAATTAAATGAGTTTACTAATAGGAGTTGAGCCGAACCAAAAGAACTAATCTCTCACAACCTAATAAATTAGAGCTTGAATTCATGTTAGGAGAGATATACACATTTAATATTTGATAGTGATTCGAGTATGATTGCTTCGATTTAAAAGATACCAATACCTATAAACAACAAGTAGTAGCACAGGAGATTAATTAGGGGGAGAATAAGATGGTGAAAGGCACTAAAATTTTCATTAGTTGCCAATAACCTTAACTAGTGGTACGTTGGTTGTCATTATTAACTACCCAAACTGAATTCAACCACTTACTACCTCCAGGTCTTTAGTGTAAGATTCAGTTTGATTTTTAATTTGATTCTAAATATAAAACTCCAATACATTTTGTTTCTTATATTTATTTATTTTTTTAAAGTAGTCTCTATAGTAGTTGTATATGTTAAATGTTTCATTAAATTATAGTTCTAATCAATACACATGATTAGCAAGTGGTATTTTAAAGAAAACAACACATATATATTACAAATAACTGATTTAACAAACTTTCTTAATCTACTCAAATTAGCCAACTAATTCCTATATTAAGGACCAGAGATAGTATTAAAAAACAAAAATCTAAGGTTTATGTCCCATCAAAGTCACTTTGCCTTTAATTACTTGTCACCGATGGTGGTGGCTGTGATAGTTGGCCGGCGATGATCTTCGGCAACCAACCATGGAGACTGATAAATTTACACTAAAATTCATATAAAATTAAAAGATACAAGACTTAAGAATAATTCCGTGTTTTTAAATGATTTTTTTTTTTTACTTTGGATTGTTGTGTGGTGTGAAAGTAATTTTCTTTAAATATTAAGTTGTGTTGTGTTGGATATCAGGCAGGATACTAGTCCTTGTTTTCATTTAAAATTGGAAGATACAAGACTTAAGAATAATTATCCTTGTTTTCATTTGCATTGTAACTATGTTAGCCAAGAATCTAGCCTCGACCCCGAACCTACGCGTGACCGTTACACCAAACCAGGATTTGAATTGCTTTGTTTTCAACCATCCTCTCTGCTCTTACCCCCCCCCCTCCAAAAAAAAAAAAAACCGTTCTCTCTGCTTTTCCTCTATTTCTTCTTTCGCAGCAAAATCTCACCTCAACGGTCTCCCCCCCTCCCCCCCAAAAAAAAAAAAAAGCTGTTCAAAATCTTCTCAATGGTAGCAAAGATCAAAAGAATTCCAACAAAATCCATGAAACCTCGCCGTAGGCGAAAATCTCCGATCGAACATGTGGTGACTATCTCCTCCGCTGTCCTCTCCTCCATCCGCGGCCGGATCACCAAACTCTTCTCCAAATTGACACAAATCTCCACTCCCAATCGTCGCCATAAACGCTATCGGATCCTGAAAAAGATACCCCACTGGAAAGAAGAACAATTCTATGAACAATCCTTGAACTCTCTTCGCATAAATCTCTTTTCTGATCCCTTCTTGTTACCCTCATTGAATTCCCCAGATAGAAAAACCGTCTTTCTCGACCTGGACGAAACCTTAGTCCATTCCAAGGCCAATGCACCACCAGAACGATTTGACTTTGTTGTGAGGCCGCAAATCGACGGTGAGATTATGACTTTCTATGTTCTGAAGCGGCCAGGAGTGGATGACTTCTTAGAATCATTGGCGGCGAAGTATGAGGTGGTGGTTTTCACGGCTGCGCTGGAAGCTTATGCCTCGATTGTTCTTGATCAGATTGACCGGAACGGACGGATTTCTCACCGGCTTTATCGTGATTCGTGCAGGGAAATAGATGGGAAGCTTGTGAAGGACTTGTCTACGATGGGTAGGGATTTGAAACGGGTTGTTATCGTTGATGATAACCCAAATTCGTATGCGAAACAGCCTAACAACGCGATTCCCATTCGGCCATTTATCGATGATCTTGGTGATCAAGAGCTATTGAAGCTGGTCAAATTTTTTGAGGTCTCCGATAGTTTTGAAGACATGAGAGATGCTGTGAAGAAATTCATAAGCTTTGGAGAATTGACATTGTGATCTTGTCAGGTAATCTTTTTACTGTTACTAATGCATTGTAATGTATGTGTGTAAATATATATATATATATATATATATATGAGTGTATCAATGAATGTATTTGTATATTCTGCTCAAAAAAGGAATGTATTTGTTTATAAATAAGCATACATGGCCAGGAAGAAAATGTGAAATTATTAGAGTTTTTAACTTACAATTTTGCGCATTACAAACACAGTCCTCTTTGCTCTGCCCCTGAATCTCTGTTTTTTTATTGTTCGTCAGCTTGAACATCCAGGGAATCATAATTTTTTTCATAGCAGAGTTCTTAAACTTTTAATTTTTCTCAATCATAGATTTTTAAATAGTTTTATTTAAATTATAAACAAAAGTATATGTTTGTGATGTCGATAAAGTTTTCTCCCCCTTATAGTATCATCACAAGGGTCATGCAAGAATATCAAGAATTCAGTGTAGCTGTGTCTAGATTTTGGAGCTTCTTTGTTTGAATTAGTGAGGAAATTCACTATGTTAGTTATATTATTTTTTTTGGGGGGGGGGGGGCCTTTGGCTATGAATTAATTTTCTCAATCGATTCCTTGGAGAGTTCGAACAAGTGGTGTGTTTCATTTACTCTAAACACAAAAGACCAGCAGACAATCACAACGACATAGTAAAGCCAGGACGTGGCCCAATTACCTTGGAGATGGCGGCCTTAGTACTCTGCAACAATATTCCAGTCATTGGGCTTTTTGTTTTTCCAGCCTTGTGTCATGGGGCAATTTAATTCTTATATTCTATGCTACGATAACCAGCCTGTTTTGCGTCTTTGGGCCTTTTTAAGGTTTGATCTCTTGACGTTCTTGGACATTATTCCTTTAATCCTATTTATAAAACGCTTTTTATATACTTCACATAAGTTAAAAAAATCTTAAAATATGTTAACTCTTTATTAAAATATAACAACTTTTTTAATTTTATCCCCATTTAATATACATATCTTTTGAAAGAAATAACTATCCATGCTATAATAAATGAGTGACAAAATAATACATTTATGTTAAAAATTTAATGAAGTGATTTATAAATAGGATAAAAAAAATTTTCTCTTTCTACTTTATAAATAGGACCGAAAGAGTATATAGTTAGGATATAAATTTATCTAGAAGTTTTTGTCCAGGATTAGTGTTGTTTTGAAAGTTCCAAGATATAATAATATTGCCTTTTGACCAAAAAAATATAGTAATGTTGCCCAATTTTATTGAAAAACTGATATTAACTGTTAAAATGTTAATATTAACCGTTAATATTGTTAATAGTAAAAGTGGTTCATCAGTAAAGACTTTAAATTCCCACTTGACTATATGTGATCAGTTTGGGGGGTCACATGTGTGGCATGTTCGGATTGGGAAGTTGATGGCTAGACTTGTATAGAACGGTGATTCCAGCAATGTTGCAATTAAATCTCCTTATTAATTTATACTGTGAGACTTAGCTAATTATTAAATAATTTATATATACTAAAAACTTAGTTAACTTATTTCTTTGTCATTATTAGGTTAAAGAAAAAGTGTTACTGTTCCTAAAGTGCTTCTCTGAAGGAACAAGTAATTCGGATAAAAAAATACTAAAATGTAAAAAGACAGACAGGATTAAAGTCCCATACTTTACTTTTCTTAAAATATTTATCCGATTCTTAGTATAAAACCTAATTTTGAATTGATTTTGACTTTAAATATAAGAACTATTTCTTATACTTATCAATTTTTTTAAAAGTTATCCATATTGATACTCTCTCAGATATAATCAAGTAAGAAAAATAGAGAGAATATTAAAGAAGATTATTATGATGTTTTAAGAAAAAACATGTCATATTTTTTATAATTAACTAACTCACTTAATTTTCTTAATATAATCAAATTAGTCAAATAGATTTTATATTAAAGACAAGAGGAGTATTATCTTAAAATTGTGGGGGTTGAATTTTAGGGGGAAAAACCGTATGTTCCTTGCAAGAAAACCAACAGACAGATCTCAGAAAGAGCTTCTCCTCCTCGTCACCATCTCTGGTGGTAGACGCTTATGACACTTCTTCGCCCTCTTCGTTGTTGAACCGAAGCCAGAGAAACGATCAACGGAAGGAATACGACAGAAATCAAATTAAGCAAATGATCAAGAGCAATATGAGAGAAATCAAATTAAAAAAATTATCATATTTAAATGGTTAACACAAATTTTGATCTCTTAAACTACCTTCATTTTTATTTTGGTCCATCAAGTTTCTTTTTATTTATAATATTAGTCTTTATAATTTAATAAAAACTTAGATCATTATGTTCTCTCGAGAGACCAAAACTTAAAGTTTAAAACTTGAGAGATCAAACCAAAATAAGGACAAATTCAAAAGATAAAAAATTATATTAACCATATTTAAATTTTAAAGGGAAAACGGCAATAAAAGACCCTTAAAATAGCAAAATAGCGAAATGTACACCTGAATAAAGGAAATTGCTTGGAGAGACCAAATCCTAAATTGTAATTATCAAATCAAGCCTAAAAGACCAAAAAGCCCTTCTTTCCTTCTTCTCCTCCGACTTCCTCTCCCTCTCTTCTTCTTTCTCTTTACTCCTTCTCTACTTCCTCCTCCTCTCTATCAGACTTCCTCTCCCACTTCTTCTTAGTGCAGGAAAACTCGTGATCTTCTCTAGTGGCTTGTTCAGTGAGGGCAAACTTCGCCATCGACATGTTGTAGGCCTGTTTGAGTTTTCAAGCTTCCATAGTTTGCAATTTATGTTCATCTACCAACAACAATTTTGATTTTGATTTCTATTCATATTCTTATACTGGACATATAGAGAGAAATGGTAATTGTTTTGCTTCTTTTAATACTAATTCACCTCATTCTTTTCTCCATGACAAAGGAGAAACAAGGTGATGATGATTGATGAGATACTTGGTCTTGTACTAAGATTTTTGATTTTTTTTTTATTTGAATTCGTTTGTTGTGAAGAGAAAGTTTTGGTGATGGAGCTTATTTTAATCCTTTGAATTCAAATGGCTAATTACAAAAACGGGCTACTATCAAAGCACATCCGATTTTTTGTTATTTGGCTTATCATTATTATAATTTCACCTTTAAGTGTTGTAATTGCAGACTTGTTATTATGATGGCAACAACATGATATGACGATATGAAAATGTTGTTTTTTTGTTTATGGGCAGAACAATGTTAACATTTTTTATTTGTCAGTTCTAAATAGTAACAATGTAGATTTATTAAATGTTCTAAAGTTATGAGAAACCTAGTCACAGACTTATAATTTCGCTTGTCAAACTTGTTATTTGTCATACTACTCTTATCATTTGACTTACCACTCTTGCTATTTGGCAGTAAAATGTGGAAATAATGTCAAATTTTCATGAAACTTAATTTCATGGGTATAAAATATAAAAGTTGATACGACTCTGCAAAAAAAGAAACAGAATGCCTAAAAAATAATATATACAAAAGAACTAAAGAAGATTGCAAGCTTATGAAGTTAGAGTAACAAGATATTTTATTACGATTTTTTTTTGCATTCAATGGCTAAACATCGAAAAGGGTAAGAATAATTTTGAAACTTAAAGCATCCAATTCCAATCAAAGTTTTTCAAGTTTATCCTTGAATTCGCCCTTACTGGTAATTCTGAGAACATAAAGACTCTAACATCATCGATACGTGAAATGAACTTTTGGTTTAGTGGAATCCAATTTGTCTAATAAAATGCCTGCCTACTTAGAAAGGTTGCGCAATACAGGAAAAAAGAAAAATGAAATAGAAGAGCTTTGAACCATAAGGAGACAAGAGTGGACTGCACTTAAAGCTTAGTCCGGCGCCACATTGTCAAGAGAATCAAGTTAAACTTTGCCAGAAAAGTTCAGAACATGGGGGTTGAGCTTGAAACACATTGTTCGTTTAAAGGGAAAGGGAAAGGGAAAAAGACATGAAACAAATACAATATTTCAGTTGGACTATACTATACCATTCTTATACTATCTAATTTATGATTCCCCATTCCCGTTCAAAACAAATATGATTTAATATATATCCTACCTGATAGGCAAGGCAAGAAACATTGAGTAGCCGCAACGGTGAGCACAAATGAATGTTAGAGACCGAGTAGTGTAATGGCAAGCGCGGACGAAAAACGGAGGCTGGAGAGTCAGTAGTTGAGCACGATTGTGGAGACCGGAGAGAACAAGCAGGAGCGGCTAGAGTTTTGGTTTGAACTAAAGAGGAAGAGTCGTGAATCATCATAAAAGAAGCCGAGGGCAATGTTGATTAAATAATTTTTTTCTTGCCAACTAATTAACTAATTTGGTTTAAAATTATAAACCATGCTTGTTGGGTGACAACTGAGCACCTGGGGCAAGTGGCAAAGCTCTTATCTTCTTGGCATTAGGTCTGAGCATAACATATTATTAATATATGTTACAGGCCCAGACCGGCATATAGTCTTTATAGGCTTTCTAAAAAGCTTAACCCTAGCCTGATAAATAAAGTAGGCCCCTAAAAAAGCCTGAGCCTGTGTTTAATTTTTAACAGGCTAGGCTGTAGGTCCCTAACAGGCCGTCTGATCTATTTTCACCCTTAGAGTTCTGTTTAAAATAGACTTTTAAGTAAATTCACTTAAGTCGAGACAAAACTCTTCTCACATACTTACCTCGCATTCTATAAATCACGTTTAAAAAGTTACTTATAAGTCAATCCAAACAAGCCCTAAGTCATTTGTAAGGGGAAGTCTTGTCCTACATGTAACTCACTTATAGTATATTTAATACTTATTTTCTAATTTTGCCTTTATTTAATTCTTTTTGGAAAAAAAGGAAAAATACGTGAATGATTTGTAAATATAAAGAGAGAAAATAGGTAAAATTAAAAAAATTTGTCAATTTAATTTATTTTTTATATAAAAATATATCACAAATGATCTATGTTAAGAATCATACTTGTATCTGTGTGTTTTGTAAAGTTCAACAC